TCACAGGACGTTCGGAGTAGTCATCGCTACGTGTCGTATTGCGACTAACAGTAGCGAGGCCGTGTTAACTCGTAAATAGTATTGAAACAAAGGAGGTAGTTTTTTGTAGCCCTGGTGGGCAAAATATTAAAGTTCCCGGCACCTCCAGTTACCTCGGCAAACGTTTTGGAAGACGATACTTATGGATCCTGGGCGTAAGCTTTTGCATCGACTCTCTTATGCATTCTGAATTTCGACAGTTACGTGGGATGCTTTTGATTGCAAAAAGATCAAACCCTGAGTACCGGCGGAAGCCAACAAACCGACCACCAGAAAACTGGCCAGTAGAATGGCAAGCGGCGAACGTAACAGAGAACACTGCCTCAAAAAGTGTAGATCCTGCTGTAACCGATCCTCGCATCCCTTCTCCCCAGTACTATGAATTCTAGAGGGAAGGCAAGGCCAGCGAGCGAAATTAAGCTTTTGAGCAGGTTGATCATTTTCCTCCATTTGGAGACATAGCAAAAAGTCATCACAGAAAAAGAAACACGTTAAAATCACTAACCGTCATGATGGCTTTAAAGGCATCGTCGTAGGCTGAGGATTCTTGGCGGGGAGCAGGCTGGACTGGGCCGCTGCCAAAACCAACGTAGCGCCCTCCCTGGCTGGGTGGAATACCACTGTAAGGAAATAAAAGGATTTTATAGTGGTCAGCCAGAATGCAACATTGGGTTTGTTGGAGTAGATTAGGCAGTGAAACAGATTAGACAAATAACCGGCAACGGTAGTTTAAGTAGTCCACCTCATACACCCCTAGTCCTAGCATTGTGTCCCACAGAAGCTGGGCTTATAGAGGTTTAATGGGTGGGCTATTAGGATAGACAGTGGAATATACTTTTATAACTGCAAAATGCATTTTATTGTACTTAGAAATGTTGTTGATTGATATATTCAGAAGATTAATTGGCGAAAATACGTTTGTTTTCGATAAATTCTCGTAGGTGATTTATATCTGTAGATTTTCCTATTCTGTATTATCGTTTAAAGTACTGCGGAAAACCCCGATTATCAAAATGCAGATTTCATGAAATTCCTGAAAAAAATAGAAATGGTGGTTGGTGGTGGTCGTCTACTTCAACTAACCTGAGGACCACCTTCAATTTACATGCGGAACAACTTACTTCCAGCGGCCGTGGGATACAAATTCAACTACAATTTTCCACTTTGCACTTACTTCTACAAATTTCCTTCACTGCCTATGCAATTTCCACACCCTCAAAACCCCTATAGCCACCGTTCACTAGTTAAACTACAGTAGATTCCCTAACTTATGAAATGTCACCCGGAATTCTGAAAGGAGTTTTTGATTGGAACAAATTAATTGTAGATGGTTGTAATAAAGACGATCGTACAGCTTAATCTAAACATATTTTGGACACATCAGGATGCCGGCTTTTTAACTAGTTTCTTTCTGACCGCTAAGAAAAAGAATGTACTATAAAAAGTAACGACTTCAGTAGTATGCCATTTTGTCATTAATTTTGACTGCCTTTATAGATTCAAATATGTATGCTTTTTTTAGGAAAACATACGCGAAAAAATTATTTCTTGTACTCATTTGGTAGCAAATTAAGCCTTCTTTAAATTTTATACTTAAAGAAAGAATATCTTTCAGTTTTAAAAAAGTTGCTAAATTGCCGATAATTTTGAAAACTAGTGACTGCTACACTGGAATTCAAGGTCTACAAACTGCGCACTGTGTATATACTATTTAAGGCAAAGTATATTTTCACCTAGAGCTTGAGGAGGATCTCACATAGTTATCCGAAGATGTTGCAATAGATATGGAGCATGCTTTATTCAGTAAAGGCAGCATTAACAAATTGACGGATACGATGTGTTATAAATGAACCCCCTACAATCGTAAAAAAGCTCATAATTAGAAATTTTTCTAAAACCGAAAGATACCCTTTCTTTAAGTATAAAATTTAAAGAGGGCGTAATTTGCTACCAAACGAGTACAAGAAATAATTTTTTCGTGCCTGTTTTCCACAAAACATATTTTAATTTATAAAGGCAGTCAAAATCAATGACAAAAAGTCATACTACTTAAGTAGCCACTTTTTATAGTACATACTTTTACTTAGCGGTCGGAAAGAAGTTGAGTAAAAAGACAGGAATCCTTACAATGTTGAGATGAGGCTGTACGATCGTAATTTTTAAAACTATATGTAAATAATATGTTTGAATCTAAAACGCATTTCAGAATTCCGGGTGACATTTCATGAGACAGGGAATCTACTGTACCTCTGCCGCTTCTTATTCGTTCTCATTTATCCTTTTCATTGCTTTTGTACAATTTTTTAAATTCTATGAGCTCTAAACTTGACCGATGCGCTTAAATCAGTGTGTGACTCAGCAATTCGTGCGGGCTACAGCAGTATTTGTTTATCAGAAGACATATCATTGGCGAAAAGTGTTTTTAAGAGAACAAATGTCAAAATTGTAGAGTGCAGTTAGTCCGCCGTGTACACCAGAGCGCATTGCGCCAGAGACTCAGCTGGCCATTATTCATATCCAACTGCGACATTGCCCTGGAATATATGGTAGTCGCAGCAACTCCTACACTGATCTTGCCCAAAAATCGCCTCATACTCGGCTCGTCCTATCTTTATTCGGTCTTTCCTGATAAAATCGCAGTCTGTGCCGGCTTTTAGTGGAACAGTAGTAAACCGCCCCTTGTTGGTCTGACTAACCAACAATAACCAGCATGATACCATTTAAATGGCCTTACACGTTTTTTTTTAAATTTAAAACAATGTTTGGCACGAGCAGTTTAAGGAGTGCACTTCATACACCCCTCGTCCCAGCATTTTTTCCTACGAAAACGGTGGTTATAGGAGTTTTTGGTGGAGAATAGAATATGGAGAGAAGGAAATTTTTAGAAGTTTATAGTGGAAAAATGTAGTTGAATCTGTTTCCCGCGGCCGCTGGGAGTAAGTTGTTCCGCATGTAAATTGAAGGTGTGTATGGCGCTTCGCGCCGCGGAGCATACCTGTGTAATTCCAGAACCGTTAGTTGGATCTCAGGTAAGTTGAAATAGACGACTTCCTAACCACCAGTTCTATTATTTGAGGAATTTCAAGAGACCTCCACTTTGATTATGCGGAAAGTAAGTTAAGTCGAGCAGTAAGTTAAACTATAATACAAGTTAGGAAAATCTACAGATAAAAAATCAACAAAATTTCCAAATACAATAAATTAAATATACATACAGCAGTTATTAGAGTATATTTTTACTACGTATCCTTATTCGCAACCCCTATATCTAACGTTTCCGTAGGATAAAATGCTGGGACTAGGGGTATATGAGATGCACTACTTAAACTAATGTTGCCAAATATCCTTTTAGTAGCTCGATTACCAATATCAAAATTCGCGGTAGAGACACTTCAATCGTTTCGAGTGTTATTTGACGGTACCTTATTTCCGCGGAGTACGCTTCAGACTTATATTAGAAGTGGTGATCGGCAAATGTTTGTTCTCATGTGAATTAATGCGGTAAAAACTACTTTAAAAGGCTGCGTGCTCTATAACAGGCATTTATGCGAGGGACATTACGACGGATGGCAAAAGTGCAATAAAACAACCTTGAACCAGTGATTGTGTATTTACATGAATACCACGTGACCTAGATGCGTGTACACGCTAGAGTTGCCTTTTTAAGGAGAGTTAACAAAAGCATCGGTCTGGTAGTCATTGGTAAGAAAGTACTTCCTTCCCGTCATTTTGAGGCAAATGTCAGAGTGTGCACAGAAAATTTAACTTCGCAAACATTTTCAACACAAAGGCGCTTACTACAAAGACAAACGAGCCTTCAATGCTTAGTCTTGGCCAAAGGAACTTGTAAATAATTGAGTTCCTGTCGGCGCAGTCTGCACAGCCTTGGTCACTTTAACTGTCATCCGCAGGCATTAAGTATGGGTTGCACAAGGCATGTGAGTACCAATTAGATTAAAAATATGGGCAAAAGTAGCTTATGTAGGCCCACTCATATACGCCAAGGCCCATCATTTTGTCCTGCAAAAACGGTGGTTAAAGTGTTTTGGGGGGTGGGGACATACGATAGGCAGAGAAGGAAATTTTTAGAAGTGTAAAGTGAAAAAAAATGTAGTCGAAGTTGCCTCCCGCGGCCGCTGGGAGTAAGTTGTTCCGCATTTAAATTGGTGTGCGCGGGGCTTCGCGCCGCGGAGTATACTAATCTAACTCCAGAACAGTAAGTTGGACCTGAAGTAAGTTGAAATAGACGACCTCCTAACCATCCTTTCAAATTTTCGGGAAATTAAAGAAACCTGCAATTTGATAATCGGGTTTTTCCGCAAGAAGTTAAACGATAATACAGATTAGGAAAATCTACAGATATAAATCAACAACACACTAAATACAGTAAAATAAAAATGTATTTAGCATTTATTAAAATATATTCCACTGCGTGTCCTAATTCCCCACACATAAAACCCTATAACGACCGTTTTCGTAGAAAGAACATGCAGGGAGTAAGGATTAATGTGTGGGCCTGCATAAGCTAAAGTTGCCCAAATGTGTTACAAGCACATAAGAATTACATCTGAACGTGGGTACTTGTTCCTATTTGAAGAAAAATCTTCAGAAGTGGGTCTTCCCTCGCATAGTCCTCCATATCTTCTAAAATTACTTATCTTGGGAAGGGCGAACGTTGTATGTTGTCATCTACATAGCAAAGAGCTGCTTACATTTGAATTATCATTTTTTTCTGAGTAGGAGCGAAAAGTCACGTCCTTGGACGAAAAGGATATCAAGGGACAACCTTGGCAAACAAATAATGTTCGATCCCATGGAATAGTAACTTAAAGCCTGAAATGTGTTTTTTTAGAATGATTACATGACTAGTATGCGGTATAATGCCATAACAGTTTCTAACACGTTAGGATGCCGGCTTTAAATGCTTTTTTGGCTGCCGGGAAAAATAATACTCGAAAAGTGGCTAATTAAGTAGCACGCGTTTTTTTTCTATTTACTTTCAACACTCTTATCAATTGCAATGCATTTTGAAGAAAAAGAAAACAAAAGCACCCCTTAATGTACTCATGCGATGGCCAATCGCATCTTCTTCAAACAGCGTCATGAAAGAAGGACTATTTTCCGGTTTTAACAAAGTTTCTAAGTAGGAGATTTCCTAATGCTCCCCCGAAGTGCGCAACATAGCTCACATCCATTATAAAATTTTAGGGGCATTAAAGCGTCTCTTCTTAATGCAAGAGAGGATCGCATGATTAGTAAACAGTCTGTAGACTTGAAACCGTAAACGCTAATACGACGACAGATAGTTCTCAAAATTATCCAGGGGCTGGGAGATGTTTTTTTAACTTTAACATCTCTTTCCTTAAGTATCACATTTGAATGAGTGATTTTCTACCATAAAAGATACATTTGTGCACGGTTTCCATAAAATATATTTGAAAATAAATCCAAAAAAATCATACTACTCAAGTTGCTCCTTTTTGTCGAGTGTGGTCTCTGCAAGCGGCCAAAAATAAGGGCCTTTAAGAGCCAAAATCCTGTTGTATTTGAAATATTACGGGATTATGCCGCAAGATTGTGAATATTACAGTCCTTCTTAGTTAGTCCTTCAAAATAAAAAACGCGTTGCCGAATTCCGGTCTTGCGCTCAGTTCTTCGGGCAGACCATGGACGTCGTTGTTGGTGGCGGTCTAACTGTCAGGCGTTCGCACTAACTGGGAAGAAGTAGACGCGATAGCTGAGACAAGAGCTTTTTTTACCTGACGTTCATGGTAAATGCTCGCCAGGTCTCCACAGGTGCCAGTATTTGGTTCTGAACTTGTTAGTCCATAAAAAACAAGGGGTGATTAGGCCTTTAGATAATGGGCATAGGCTCTGGCCAGAGCTGTATGCCTGTGGCGGTAGCTTTACGCCGTAACGGGACCAGATTGGCCCGCGATACGCGTTAATGGAGCGGGCCCCCTTACTTACGCAATGTCACGCCCATACGTAGAACTCACTCCACACATCAGGCACTCCAATTAACCCCTCAACCCCGTACCTAGCCAGATCAAACAGTAGAGGGAGGAGAGACGCCGTCATTTAGAAACCCATTAGCACACTACGTCAGCACATTTCGCGGGAGTGAGG